CTCCTGCACTGCTGGTGGGAATGTGAATTGGTACAGCCACTATGGAGAACAGTATGGAGGTTCCTTAAAAAACTACAAATAGAACTACCATATGACCCAGCCATCCCACTACTGGGCATATACCCTGAGAAAACCATAATTCAAAAAGAGTCATGTACCACAATGTTCATTGCAGCCCTATTTACAATAGCCAGGACATGGAAGCAACCTAAATGTCCATCGACAGATGAATGGATAAAGAAGATGTGGTACATATATATAATGGAATATTACTCAGCCATAGAAAGAAATGGAGTTATCTGTAGTGAGGTGGATGGACATAGAGTCTGTCATACACAGTGAAGTAAGTCAGAAAGAGAAAAATGCCATATGCTAACACATATATATGGAATCTAAAAAAAAAAAGGTTCTGACGAACCTAGGGACAGTACAGGAATAAAGACTCAGATGTAGAGAATGGACTTGAGGACATGGGGAGGGGCAAGGGTAAGCTGGGACAAAGTGAGAGAGTGGCATGGACTTATACATACTACCAAATGTAAAATAGCTAGCTAGTGGGAAGCAGCCGCATAGCACAGGGAGATCAGCTTGGTGTTTTGTGACCACCTAGAGGGGTGGGATAGGGAGGGTGGGAGGGAGACGCAAGAGGGAGGGGATATGGGGATATATGTATATGTATAGCTGATTCACTTTGTTATACAGTAGCAACTAACACAACACTGTAAAGCAATTATACTCCAATAAAGATGTTAAAAAAAAAAGTTGAATCTCAGGCCTCATTCCCAGACCTACTGAAATAGCAATTCAAACCTTAACATATTTTAACAAATCATACAGGTGACGTATGTGCTTGAGAGTTTGAGAGGCATTGGCTCAGAAAGTCACTATGACTTCAAACTGATTAGTATCTGAAGTGTGCTGGACTCCTTGGCGGATGTCATCAAGACAGGCCCTGTCTTCAGAGGTAGCTCAGCACGTGCAAAGGCATCGGGCAGAACATGGACTGGATTTGTGACCCATGTTGTTCTAGAAAGAAAACCCTGTTCTTGTTTTGTGCAGCCTTTTTACTTCTTCCCCCATCTTCTGTTCATTCTTTCATCCTTTCCTGCTGCTTCACCCTGCATAGGCCCTGATATCCAACTTTTGTTGGATATCAGAAGTCCTCTTGGTCTCAGGCCCTCCACTCCCCGTTCTCATTGTCCGCTTCTCCACCATCTCCCTGCAGGCTCAGGGTTTTGACTGAGGCCCTAGTTTTGCAGAAAATACTGATAGGGCTTGCCTTCAGCTGTGGTTGATTTGTTTTCTGCATTCAAAAGGGCCCAGGCTTAGGCAATTCAAAAGGCAAATAATGAGGTTTGGAGTAGAAGTGCACAGTGGATCCTGTTTGCTGGCAAGAAGAGGCACAGTCTTGTTCAATTGGCCCCTTAATTGGGGGTCTTTCACCTGTTTTGAAATCTATTGAAGAGCCCCATGGGCTGGGATTCCCATCTCAGTGGGCACTGAATGGCCAAGTGACAGAAGCCAATATGCTAACCAAGTGACACGCCCTATAATCTTTTCTCTGCATAGGGATTGTTACTCTAGCCTGCCACCTTGGAGGACTGCTTTGCCCAGCATTGAATAATGGCTAGATCACTGTTATTCATGCTAAATTCACTGCTATGGGTCAGACTCTAGGGTGTAACAACTTGACTATGTCCTCTCGACATTTAGAACAGTGATTAGAAGAAACAAGACAGGGAGTCTAAAGTCTGTCAAGAGAAGAAAAGATTAACTGTTGAAATGGTCCCATTCGCCTTCACTGTCCCCATTCAGTCCATTGGCTGGCAGACCTACAGCTGCCATGCCTGGCTCCTGCTGGCTGCCAGCATTTAGGGAAGGCAGGCATCCTTAAATCTGAGTAACTGAGTCTGTGGATGAATTGTATTTCCTTAACTCAGACACTGTTAAGAAGAATCTGTCACCATTTCCACTGAGAAAAGATTAATGAGAAATATGATTAATTGCTAGTTGTACCAACGCTCTTGTGTTTTTTTCCCTTGAGAATTATTTTGGGTGAAGCTTTCCACTATGGCATTTTTATAGAAAACTGAATGATCGACTGTCCCCTGTGCAACAGATTAGCCACTAACCACACGTGGCTATTGACATTTAATCGGAAGAAATAAAAGATTTACTTCTCAGCTGCACCATCCACATTTCAAATGCTCACTAGCCACAGTGGCTAGTGGCTACTGATAAAGGACATTTTCATCATCACAGAAAGTGTTTTAGACCCTGCTGACAGTGACTCAGTAGAATTTAGAAGAACATGGGTTTCTGAGTCTTATGGGCCTGGTTTCTTCTGCACACACACTATATCTCACTTCTCTGTGAGAAGTCACAGGTAAATAAGACACCTACATTTCAAATGATTGACTATGCTTTATAGCTCGGCGGTTCTCAAATTTCAGTGAGCATCAGGACCACCTGGAGAAGCTGCTAGAACACAGCTTGCTGGGTCTCAACACCAGTTCTAAGAACGTGATTTTAAGTTTCCAGGTGCTGCCCCTGCTGCCTTATGCAGCTTCTCTTGAATTGTGGAAGCCAGAACACCTTGATCGACAAAGATTAAACCATGGGTATCCTTGGTTTATACCAAGGAGGTCCACAGGCACATTCTTGAGGGTGTGAGCGTTCTTTATAACCTTGTAACAATTGTGATTTCACTCTCAAAATAAAAAGATTAATAAACACCTATTCAGGATCACTGATGACCATCTGAAAACCAACAGCAGCATGCGATTTTAGTGCCTGAGTTTGCATTTGTATTTACGATCACATGATCACCAAACGATTTCCAGAACTGATAACATTGAATTTTGATGTAGTATTTCTTAAACTGGGTTCTGTAGAGGTCACTGAACATATACGCAGGAGTCCCAGATTCCCTGTGTTTGAGAAACAGTGACCTGGGGAATGGGGGTAGGGGAGGGGTGGACCCAGCAAGGGCAAGGTCTTATCAGCACTTTTTCAGGGGGAGAGCATGTGGCCTTTTGATTGGAAAGATTTTCTGTTTAGGACTTCCCCTCACCTTGAAGGACATTTAGCATTGCTGGGCCTTGCCCATTAAATACCAGGGGGTGCTCCAGAGTCACAGGACAACCCCAAACCATTGGTACACGTTTAAAAATCCCTCTGTGGGGCAACAGTACAGCCTGCTTCTGGGTGAGCAAACCCACAGGCCATCAGCTTTGCCCTGAGCTGGGCCTCTGCTCTTTCTGGCGATACTGTGGCTGCAGCTGGGACCCGGGGCGTCCCCAGCCTCTGCTTCTCTCGTTTGTCACTCCCAGGCTTCTTGGTTGGGGACTGAGATACTGTGTACTATACAGTGTACGGCCCATCTTCAGGACACTTCGGTGGGGTCACCTTCAGTCTACCGTTTGGCCGGTAGAGGGCAGCAGCACCCAGAACTTCCCGCTTGCTTTGCTTACTGCTATCATGGGAGGCGGTAGTCAGCCGAGCACCTCTGTTGCCTCCGTCCCTCTTCCCACCTTGCCCTTCTTTTGGGGGGGTGTCATCTAGAAAAGATCTTCTCAATGTTCCTCCCATGGCCCTGGCACCCGGTGGCCAGGAAGGAGGCCTGGCAGCAGCAGTGGTGTTCGCTGGACCCCACGAGCTCTATTCCGACGCTTGGAGGCGGCGGTCCTCTCCCCACGGCCCGGCGCCCGGCGGTCCTTAGCCAGGGCGGGAGGCTGGGAAGCCGGCCGCTGCCCTCCTCACCGGCTTTGATCTGAAATTCTCTCTCTTGCTTTCTTGCCTCCCCTCCATCACCACCCCGCCCCCGCCCCCGCTCCCACCATGCTTCATTCCCAGAAAGAATCTGAGTCAGTCTCTTGTCATTAGATTAGTTTCTGCCAGACGTCAAAGCAGCTGACAGGGAGATGGTGACCCCTCTGCTCCCACTCCAACAGAAAAGAAGAAGGAACTGGAATGGACAAGGGTCTCCTTCGGCGACTCAAGAGCCCTTCCCCGGTCTCCGGTAGAAATAGGAAGAAGATGCAAGCAAGAGTCCCACTTAACTACCCGTTAGCATAGGTCAGAATCTTTAGATTTTGCATTGCTTTAGAACAAGAATATTTCCCCTTCTCTCGAGAAACATCCTTTGGCTTAGGCCTGCCTCTTTCTAGAAGTCCCCATTTTCCCGTTTTCTCTGACGCTCTCTTTCTTGCCCGCGCTCAAGCATGCTCGCTCTTTCCTGGGCCGTGACTCGCATGCGCGGGCTTCAATTAACTTTCTTTCTGTGAAACAAGCAGCACCTGTCCTATCATCAGTGGCTCCTGAGAACGCTCTCTCCTAGGGCTCACAGAGGCTGAACTTCTCTCTGACCCTCCTGGGGGGGGTCACCCTGTGTCGGTGGCAGGGGCGC